CGGAGACAAAAATGGAGGTGAAACTGGCATTTCATATGAGTAATATGAAATTTCTAAATGGAAGAACTCATGTGTATTAGCAAATTGTAAATACATACAAATATTAAGCTCCACAATGAAAAAGCAATTCAAGGTATCAGTTAGAGCCATATTAATACACATTATTAATACGTGTACCTCAAGTACATATTGTTATATCAAAGTTACAAACGGACCATGCTTAGGATAAATACGTTCTAAATTTCTTATAGAAATATGTCTAACCGCAGACTGAAGAGACACTTGTGGAAGAGAAAGATCGAACCTATTGTTGTGAAATATTTTATCAGTCAAGACAATCTCTGTTTTTATCATGAAAATTTTCGTTTCAAGGAACTGAGTGATCACGTCACTTTCCAAAGTTTAATAAATTATCGCATAATACAGTGTTAATTTAATACACAGTATTTCACGACTATTATATAGATATATATTAAATATCTTGATTTTTAATTATGACAAAATTTAATATATTTTTTAATTACGTGACATACAAGAATTTAATATCTACAATTTTACAGATCTTTTCATTTGCCTGATATATACCTTCTAAAGAATAAATATTTGATCTTTTTCATAACTCACAGCTACTATTTAGCGAAATACGGCCATCAAATGTAATATAGTAAGTCAGAATTAGTCCGTCATTATTATTGGCAGAATATTTTGTGAAAAATAAATGATAAATTAAAAAACAATGATATAGAATGATATACTATTCATATAAGATCATGAATAATTATTTTTTAACGTGATAAAATTGTGTATAGAAAAAAAAAGAAAATATTTTTTTATCAATATCAATCTTTTCTTAACCAATATAAATGGAAAAATTTTCATTTTTCGATAGATAAAAATTATATACAAAAATATTTACAGATTTTCACCACTAATGCAGTCAATTTCATGCGAAAAAAATAATTAAATAATGGTATATATTGTAATATAATTTAGTTAAAAATTAAACTTCTTATGACAAATCTTTGATCAAAGAACTTAAGCAACTAAATATTTAAATTCAATTACTTGCAATATATATAACTATAATTATTTAGGCAAATCTTTTATATTTATAACAATATTTTTGCAAATGAAACTTTTACATAATTTCAACAAAAAAAAACGAAATTCTAACCGATTAAAACTAAATAGACGAAATTGTGAATAGCATATAATGTAGCACGTGTTACAATTCATCTAAATTTAATAATGTATCTATAATACGTCATTTTTGTGCTGTGATAAAAAAAACTTTTAATTAGAAAAATTGTAAGTCATAAAGTCGTTTTTATCGTAATAAACTTCACACATGACTATCGAAAATTAAGTAATAGGCAAATTACGCATCTGTTGATTTTATCCCGAATATATTCGGATTTCATTATGTACAAGTTGAATTTCCTGCTCGAGAACATCAACTTGGACAAAGGCACGATTGACCATAGGTAATGCTTGTGTGTGCAAAATATTATTATATAAAAATTAAAATTCTCCCCACATTTCAACTAAAGTAACAATAAATATAAGCAAAGCGAATACTATTTTTTGTATACAATGTACAATCGAAGTCCTGTCACTCTCCCTTCTAACAGAAACATTCAAAATCACTATTTTCGTCTTGAAATTGAGAAATCATTCGGGCATTCCAGTCCCAGCTTTTTCAGTTCTCGCTAAGTTTATTTAAGTTGTATTAAATTCTTAATTCACGCCTTTGGTGTACTCAGCTCTCAATTGGCCGAGTGTTACTTTTATATCGTGAAAACTCGGTCTCTTTTCTGGCTGTAAATCCCATGCCTGTTAAATAGCATCTAAGTAAAAAATGTGATACAATATGATACAAAATATAACGTAATAGGTAAAAATTTAATATACCTGTCTCATAATATCGTAAACTTCCGCAGGACATCCATCTGGTGGTTCCATCTTATATCCTTTTTCTACGCACTTTACAACGTCGGCTAGAGGCTGCAATTAATAATAACGTGAAGAAAATGTATCATATCTCTTGTGTAACAGTTTAGAGGAACAATATCACTTACAATTCGTGGATACGGCACACGACCAAAGGAATAAATTTCCCAGAGAAGAATTCCGAAACTCCACATATCAGACTTGTTTGAAAACTTCTGGAAAGAGCAATGTGATACATAAATATACATATATATATATATATTTTTTATTATTCGCATATAAAGTTATAATATATTTACATTTTGTTTTAGAGCCTCTGGTGCAGTCCATTTGATCGGCAATTTTCCACCGTCAAGAGAAAAGTTTTCATCCCGCGCCAGGCCGAAATCGGACACCTTGGCGGAATTATCCTCTGCTACGAGAACATTTCTCGCCGCTAAATCTCGATGCACAACATGTCTGGATTCCAGGTACGCCATACCGGCACACGTATCGCTACAATATATCAAATAATGCAATTAATATACAGGTATTTTATAGTTGGCAAATGAATTTTGTTTCTGCTTACGTACTATGCAAAGTTAATCTGATCCTTTTTTGAAACATGTAATCTTCCTCTCGACCGTAAATAATCCACCAGAGATCCTTTGCTCATATACTCCGTAACTAGGTACATGTGTTGATTATTAAAAACAAGACCGAGTAATTTAACCAGATTGTCATGAATCAACGAGGTCATTAGGCTCGCCTCGGCTAAAAACCTCTGTGCCGCTTCACTGTTATCCTTTAGCATTTTCACCGCGACCCTTTCCCCTCGATAGACGCCTAACAGTACATCCCCAAATTCGCCCTTTCCAATACACTCCCTTAACTCTAACTCGTGAGTCTGAATCACCCAACCGGCTTCTACAAATGCCTTTGGATCCACGCAGAAATCTTGCTTGCCCTGTTTCGGCAAAGATTTCATTAGCTGCGTACACAAACCATCCGCGTCCTGTTCGTAATGCTCGACCAAGAGCGCTAGATTTTCGAAAAATTCCTCGTCATCGATCGTTAACTGGTTGTTTTTATATTTCACCCTATAGTGCTGTACACGTCCCTGGTAACACACACAGAGTGTGTAATCCCCAGGGAAATTCGTCGACTCTCGAACTAGAAACAAGCCATCCTCTCGTGGTCGCAACAACCTTTCTGCCGTTTCCCTCGATATCTTCCCATGAAACCATCTATATAGAAAAAAACAATTTCGAACAGATGAAGTATGTACGTTTTTTAATTACGCTTCTGCATCGATTTATTTGTCGCGTATCTCAATATGTATTTCTCGTTTTAAATAATTGTTATATATTTCCAGATATTAAACCAACAATGATACTAAGCCAATAATACATACGGCATAGCGTTCAGTTTCACTTCGTGTCGTGGATTAGCTGGCAACGCGGTAGTGTTGGCGCCCGGATTAATGACATTCGAGGTGAGAATTACCGGCGAAGACGTGGTGTTCATGTGTGTCGTGATATTCGACGTGGTGACACTCGAATGCGTGGTCATCGTCGGCGACACTGGGTGGGACGGAATGCTACCTGTAGTCAGGTTGGAAGGAACACTGTGTTGTTGTTGTTGTTGTTGCTGTTGCTGTTGCTGTTGCTGTTGTTGTTGCTGCTGTGTGTGGTTTTGTATGAGGGGATGAGATGTTACGTTTGAAGGGATAGTGTGATGATTTTGATTGCCGTCGAGCTTCGCTTGCCTCGCTGGCGCTGACACATTCGGGTATCCGCCACCCGCATTGTGGTACGTTGGCATGGCAGCTACCACACAGTAGGCTCTATCAACCTACGAAGATGAATGAAGAGCATTCATGAACTTCAGGGATCATTTATCAGTTTGCCTCATTAAATAAGATGCTTTAGTGATGTTCTATCCGTAAGTACATTCATAACTCGTGTAAAAGTAATGCAAGCGATATATTAAGAATGCGGAGGTAGTTTATAACGAAGTATATAATACAGAATTCTAACTTCGTTCAAAAATTATAAAAATTTTAAATATTTTGAAATATTTTGAATATTTTGCGTACAGTAATATCTCTATATACAATCGATTTTATGTTGTTTTTTTTACACCTTGTTATGGACTATATATTTTAGGATTAATAGACAATCATTCTCCTATTTTATTTATGTATCGAACATCAAGTTAGATTGTTAAACAGTCACGTGTTCAGATCCTCTCAATTCTTCTCAACCGACGATTGTCAACTTGAGAAAGTACGAGTGAAGTACTCTTGGCAAGAAAAGCCGATTCTACATGGAGAATTCTACCGACGGAACGGAGGAGGGTCCCATAAAAACACGAGCGAGGTGGAAAGCGATCGATCGACAATGTTTACAGCGAAGACAACTCAATTATTCCGGGCGCGACGTAACGCGTGGAAGCGATAATTAATAAAACTCGTTAGGCGAATTGAGTCCAATGCATATTCAACTAGTATATACGTATCCGGTAAACCGCGTGTTGGGTTTTAATATACAGTAGTTAATCTAAGTGCCTATTGTTTCAAGGCGCGTACACTATCGCGATGCTCATCCGCCGTATATACGATGCGCTGCACGACCGTACATGGAACGTATGTGATAGGTGAGTCACCCACCAGCCGTGTATTTTTTCGCGACGATTGTAACACGAATAAGCGTGGTAGAATAGGTCTATAATTATCCCGAACCTGACTAAGCGACATACAATTTCCACGCGAAATAAATACACATTTCTAGACAGGAAAATCTCTGCTTCGAGAAATCATAAATCATTCGCTTTGGCATCTCTGAAGTATTCGAATACGTTTTATTATATTTCAGTAACAGAAGCATCGGATAAAATCAATCTGTCGAAACGATGCGAAAGACGCGCGGAAATATTCCTGCCGATTGAGATAAATGAAACGTACGTGGAAAGCGCTTCGTAACACTGCAGGAAAATAGCTTTTAAGGGAAATGCTCGTCAGCTTTCCGGCAACGAGTCTCCCAACTCTATCCATATTATGAACAACCGCGGTAACAAGAGAAACAAATCCATCGCACCAACAAATATTGAATAATTCAAATACTGAAAGCTACCCTTGGTCGCGCGTCTGCGAGATAGAAAAGAGAGAGAAACGAGCGAGTTATGTCACGCAAAAAGATATAGTTTGCGACGAAACATAATACGTAAATCTGCTTTGTTACGTAAGTACAAATAGTCGCATTTCTGTCATGTGCTTTTCCGCCGGTATTTCGAAAGACAGATAAGTGATTAAAACATCGTCAAGAACACACGACATGCAGAAGAGAAAATGTTTCGAGATCGTTTATTATCAAAAATATATATCTACGTAATAATACCGAGTTACACCATATAATTCGTGTCTATGTCGCACTTTACGACAAGCACGATAAGCTAAGGTATAAAAGTTAAAGGGTTTTATGGATCAAATATATAAAATAGAACCACCATTTTTTCTCTCCTCTCTACGTTAAAATACGTAAGTTTCGTACAGCCAAAAAGAAAAAAGGCAGTATCGCGCCCGACAGGCGCGAAACGCCTTGAATATCAATATCGAATCTGGATGCGAGGTGCGTACATGTAATACACGTTCCATCGCGCTTGTCAGGTAACCCAACTGCACGGCCGCATAGATTTCAGGCTAATGAAATTTATTATCGGCTGCACGCGACGTTAATTTTTACCGATGTGTAACATGTAAAAAGAGCACTATGCAAAACTGTTCCATCGCGTGCAACGAGATACTTAAGAGAGTTATGTTTGCTATATATTTGCAATCGTTTGTGACTCAAACTATTTATGCCTCCAATATCTATGATTCAGAGGAAATGCGTGTCTCCTAAAACTCTGCGTATCACGCAAAAATTTAATAAATAAAATATATCATCGATAAAGAATTATCGCGAAAAATAAAAAATATTCTCGATTAATACAGAAGAACGGTTTTATTATAAATGAAAATTCGGCTTTTATAATAATGTTTTACGCAGTAAATTATTAATATACGATTTATGTACAAACGCTTGCATAGATATGATGCTTGAATGATGCCATGTAAATATATATAGATCGTTTATTATTTTTAGAAAATATTTTACATCTTTTTATTTTAGACTAACTATATATTGCTTTGTGCCTCGCGCATAGTAAAGTAGCTGAAGTTCTATCTTTTCACGTTTATTAGAGAAACGCAAATCAAGACAAATATTCCGGAAGGTAAATATTCTCGTACGCTCGGCTAGCTGCGAAGAGAACGAAGGAAAAGAAAGAAGCCTCGTTACTTAATGACAACGATACTCAATGTACATACATACAAAATATCTCGGAATGCTCAAGGGAAATAACGGCGTGTGGTGGAAAGCTTATGTTAATTTCAATAGATCACAGTCACGATAATTATGTGGTTCATGTGCAGATTTCAAGACCGACTCGGCAGTTTCTGTTTACATCAGTGTTTTTCGAGAACTGTAACTCGTGATTCACTATCAGAGCGCCTTTATGCAAGCCGCAAACCGCAGTCTACGTCGCGCACGTTTCATCAGGAGCAACGTTCATTTGCACGTGGAAAGCCTCATCTATCGACAAAAAAAAATGTTTCTATGATGCGATTGTGGTCCGTGTGAATACGACCGTGAGCTTTCAAGAATGAAACAATAACTTGAATAACAGTGAGTCTCGTAACTTCTAATAAATAGGACGAAAAAGATCTTCTTCGTGTGAATAGCACTACGAAAAAATATACGTATATACGTATACTAATATTCATATTTAGAAAATTTTTATGATAAAAAATATTTTTCCAGAGAGAGAGAGAGAGAGAGAGAGATTTACTATACTTTCCTTGATATTTAGAACACATAGTAATTAAAACTTGTATAAAAATCTAAAACGTACATTAATAGACGATCTTTCCTTGTTAATCAATTTGCGAGAACTTTTGAAAAATCTGCTTGAAGATCTCAAATGGATACAATCCCTATCACCGGAACAAACTTTTGTTTGTCAAGTATATTACATACTGAGCCGAGAATGCACGGCTAAGGAATCTAGGAAGATCGTTTATGAGACAAGATCCACGATTGCTAATTTCGCGAAAGGTGTGTTACACGAGGCTCGTGTCTGCTCGCATGCGTGCCTGGCCGGCACGCACCGGCGGTCCTATTAATATCTCGCGGGAGAGCGTATAAAAGGGCGTAAATGCAAAAGATGTAGAGGGAGGGACAGGAAGCCGGCGACACAGAGGCAAACGGGTGCGTGCAACAGATTCGCGCCCGGCGTACGCGCTCGTTGTTGCGTGCTCTTTAACAGTACACGTTACTGTACCGTGACCCACCACCGTTTTCCATCTGACGTTGTCCCGCACATGACTCTCCGGGGGGACAACCTCTCTTCCTCTCGCGCGGAGCGCTTTCTTCCCGGCTCGCGAGAACTTCCGAACACGCGAAGCGCGGTGGAAACTTTTGTGTCGAAAACACGAGCCGCAAGGGACACCTTGCGTGTCTGACCGCGTTGACAGCCCGGATAGCTCACCGATGTGCAAACGAGACTACGGAGATCCGTTTTTTACTTCATTAATTTCTTTTCTTACAATACGACAAATATATCATCGAGCACGAATTCCTAAAGTATTGTAATTTTAAGTAAATTCATTTGTCCTTCTCTAACCACAAAACATATTTTATCGTTTCCCATCTTTCAATTAATTACTTCTCAAAGTTAACTATCTCATTGTATAATAATAAAATTAATGTTACGTTATTAACCGATCTAAAAATAGATAATGTATAAAATTAAATAAATGACAGATTGTTATGTGTTTAAGATTTACATATCTTTCTTCTTAAAAGAATAACATCCCGATCATAAATCGCTCTACCTCTCGCTCTTATCTATTATTTCTCCTTTAATTTACCTTTATATTTCTCAAATCCTACTTTCACACACACACACACACACACACACACACACACACACACACATACGTTTCATTTATATCCCGTCCCTTAGTAACGTCGACGCAAACGGAGACGAGCTGTCCAAGACGAGCTGTCCAAGACGAGTGTCGACGTAGATCATATCGTGGAATGCGTGAAATGCGAATAGCGCTACTACTGAATAGCGGGATCAAACACCCGGTACTTGACTCTCGTATAAAGGGAGAATTGAAGTCAATACAAAAAGCAGCATTTGTTTCTCGTTTCTCGAATCTCTCGCTAGCGCGCTAACGTTTCGCATTGATATAAAGTGTAGGCGCTAAATAGAACGGCGTTGCTAATACCGAAATATAATGCGAAATTTCTGCTGTTCGCTGTTCGTAATTACGGGTTAATTTCCTTGCATTGTCTCTCACTCAAAGACGATCAATTCACGGTGCAATAAAAGGATTAATTTAAGATGAAATATCTTGGAAGCGTACCTATGCTTTGCATCGAGTATCCATCTTCCGAAAATATTGCCCCTCTGAAACAAAAATAAAAAGCATCATCAGCTACAAACTTACAATAATTCTTTATCTTAATGTCTAAATTTATTCTAAATATTTTAAGCATTATGCTATCTTTAAAGAAATCCAAAAATAATAAATGACTATGAATCACACACATTAAAGCTTGTGTAAAAAGACTAGAATGGCAAAAAAAAAATAGTAAATGAATAGTGGATTCAACATTGTTGAATATTTTCAGAAGAGCGTATACATACATATATTGACAGATTATTAATAATACATGAGTCGCATACCTAGAAGATAAAAATACGACACGGTCGTCTTTATAAAATCGTTCTTTCACGTAACGACCAAGTTGTTTTTTAAAAATGTTTTTGAAAACGCACATTTCCGCGATATCCTTTTCAGACGAATTTAGTTAGATAAGAAGCACAGGAAGCAAATCGTTCGTGTTTCGGCCGTGATTTGGCGGAATAGGAACGTGGAAAAAATGCACGACTGGGAAGAGCCTTTCCATTTGTGGCGCGCAATTAAGCGCCGCGCGCTCGTGCAACTGTGTTATTCATCGCCCGTTAACCATATAATTAGCCAATTGCTAATTGCCCGAGTTCACATGAGCCTGAGCGACCGAGGCCAGTTTGCCTGGCCCAGGCGCATTAATCACTCGGTCATCCCATACGATCCTCCTCTCGACACGAATTGAACCAGGTCAATGTAATGTCAGAGTAGAAATATGGAGCGTTTTGGCCCAAATATAACGTGAAATTATGATGAAACCTTCTCGGGAGTGGACATAAGCACGAATTGGCAAGATTAACTTCCATTTCTTTATTTTTATAAACTCTCTGTAAACACATGATGTAATTTAAATTAAATTAAATCACACTGCATGAATAAGTGCACACTGATCCTTTGCCTCTTCAATTCTGACTCTAGAAAATATTCAGAAGAATAATTTAAATTTAACTAACGTATTAACATAAATTGGAAAACATTGATATGAAATAATAATTCCAAAATTATACTCCAGTGTTCCATTTGCAATTTCTTATGATAATTATATAAAGAAACTTATTCTGAATGCAATAAAAATAACTAAGTGAAATTATGTAAATTTCTTATTTTATAATAATTAAAGAATATTTACTTCTATTCTTAGAACATTCTAACATAGACTAAAATATGAAAAATTGATCTGATTTGTTATAAAAACTTAAAGAAACTTATTTATACAAATAATGACAAACTTTTGAATTGTGAAGCAGACAGTTTGAATTATGTTTAGCTCAATACGTTGAAATCTCCACAACTCTCTACAGCTAAATGACAAAATTTCTTATCAATTTCTGCTGTTAACATATGTAATATTTTATATGCTTCCAATCTAAACATCATTTTAGTCAAAATTATTAAATAAGAAAATATTTTCGATAATACAATTAAGAACTAAATTGAATGGCGGTAAAAGAGAAATTCGCAAAACAAGAGAATGTATTCACATAACATTTTTTCGACATTTTCTTCACGGCAGATCAGTATTCAACGTGCATGATTAGAAAAGCAACCGTTCTAATTGAGAAAACAGACGTGGGCTTTAAATCAGTCGGCGGTATGTCGCGTCAGTCCAGTTCTGTCATTTAAATACCGCCCACTAAAAGCGACGGAGAAAAAAATCACGTCCGAAGTATAACCAAACTCTCGCTGTCGTGCGTGCATGCGTGTGTGCGCGGTGCGCGCGCGCGCACGCGCGCGGGTCTCGGCCCTCAGGACGTGTGGAAATCGTGAATCACAGATCACCGGTGCGGATCGACGCGCGTTCCAGTGTCGCGTGTCGACGGCCCATACGCCGCGAGAACGTACCAATACGCAAATGCGATTAATACGCACCTAAATCCGTTTGCGGCGAGTTGAGCAGTGCGGACGGAACGCAGCCGCACTCACTTGCGGTCGCGCAAACGACCACTTTCCGCGCGGGTGAGGCAGATAAACGTGTGACACGTTGCGAAGGCAGTACACGTTTGCACGCGCGAATATTCATGCGCGAAGACTGCACGGCACGATCGCAGACGTAAACACCTTGCGAGAAACGTCACTCACTCACTCACTCACTCGAGTCAGGCGGCCATTTTGCTACGCATGACCCATGCGAAAGAAATATCTTGATGTGTTGACTCGAGCACGAAACCCGAAACGCTTGAAGTTACTCGTTCTAGTAACAGTAGTACCAACCAGGTTTTAAGAAACTTGTTCTAGAGGAATATTCTATTTTAAGGCTACGTCGCAAAACTTCCTCTGCGAGGAGGATTTTCTCTCTATATACTATAGTATACGTAACGTGTGCTATATATTTCGAGTAAAATTTTTCAGAAAGAAAGTTTTGGAACGTAATCTAATGCCTCCTGCACACTGGATGCGGAAACACTTGCCGCGCGACAAATTGAGACGTGGTAACCAATGAACACATTAGGAACTTTATTGGCTATCGCATTACATTTTGCCACGTGATAAGCGTTTCCGCGTTTAGTGTGTAGAAGCCATAAGTAATTTTAAGCCAATCTACATTGATCGTAGCGTCGGAAGCGCCATAAGCATCCTGCGACTTTAAAATTGAAGTATCGGATTGGTCGAAGCAACAAGCTTGTAACTTGCGACGTCTGAGCGATTACATGTAACGCGGTACACGATCGGCGGTACAGAAACTAAGTAACTATAAGAACTGCGCAAACCGTGCCGCGCAACTAGTTTCTTTTCTTTTCTATTACATGTAGCGCGGTAAGCGGCACGGGCTAGTGACAAATAAACTTTAATATGAATTTTTTTTAATATATTAACTTATTTCTATGCACATTTCATCAATACTCTTATTTTTTTCAATTTGCTTAACAATTGCATTTAAATCAATTAATTTTATTAAAAAGTGCTTAGTAACGTAAATTTGTATGCAAGTCGAATAAACCAATTAATGACGCAGAAATAAAGTGAGTATAAAGAGAGTGACGCCAATTAGCCGGAAGTCGCCATTTTGTATTCTATTTCTATAATGCAATTCCTCGTCTTATGGCTCCTGCACATAGAATGCAGCAACGCTTGACAGAAGTTGGCACGATAGCCTCGCTTGCTCGAAAGTAATATATATATAATTTCCACCGCAACAAAAATTGAACTCAATCCAACTTTTCCCGCGGCGAAAGTAATATTACATCATTTCTAAAAATTTTGCATGGTGAGGACGACTTAAAAACATAAAATTATTGGTTAGTGCGACAACCTCCGCCGCGTACTGTGTGCAGGAGCTATTAACCTTTTTTTCTTTAACGTTATCTTCTTTATAACTAACAGTCGCCAGTTTCCATCGAGAGTTTAAACCGGATCAGAATGTGAAAACCAACCAACTACAGTAAAATATTCCCCTGTTACAAACGACAGGGGAAAGCTTGACTGTAATTGGTTGGTTCTTACGTTCTGATCCGGTTTAAACCCTCGGTGGAAACTAGGCCAGTAAGGCGGACACTTAATGGCGGAGCCAATCAGCATTGGCGCCACTTTATACTCACTCTACGCAAAAATATAGTAACCAAATTTTTAAAATTTTTAAACCAAAACTTGTATCCATTTTAACCGTCGCAAAACGCGGCCATTTCAAATTTGTGCATTTATTAATATATGTACTTTATTTTGGAAAATAAAATTGTCAATCACGTAAATTAATGTTTCTTAATTTTAATTTATTTATAATAAAAAAAATATGTCTAAATTAATACTTAATTTATGTATTATTTAGTTTAATACAGGTTTATTTGTTGTAAAAGTTTAGTGCATAAAAGTGCACAAAGAGATAAATAAGTACAGTTTAAAAGATGAATCACCAACCACCATGTTTGAAATTGGCTGTTTTTCAATTAAGACATAGAGATCGGTATTCATAATCGAGTCTTATTTCAAGATCGTCTTAAGTAATGTCTGAAGACGCTAATGCAGCCTTCTGATTGGTTCATGACTTCTTGAAAACCGTACTTAAGATGAATCTTGAATATAAGATCTGATTATGAGTACTAACCAGAGACATTCGGTTTGTTCGCGTCGCATACTCTCACATGCTTCAACATATCCTACCATAGCTCCTACTCACTCTAACGAATGCATTTGAGTGAATAGAAGCTATAGTTGGAGGAAGTAAGAGCATGTTGAAGCGTACGACGCGAACAAACCTATTACACTGTGTTTCACTGTGTAAGATATTTGTTAAGACGCAGTTTAGTTTTATAATGTAACACCAGACTGCATTGTAGTCTTCCATTCTTATTTTTATAATTATATAGCGTCAATAATAGATTTATGATCTTATTTTTATTTAGACTTAAGTTATAATTTTTTCAGAATTAGCGATTTTTGAAAATTTTATTGCAAAATAAGTATCATAGATATTTATATTTAACACTAGATCGCTGATTCCCCTATATACCGTGCATAAAAGTTGATTCCAACGCTGCGTTTCCATTTCGTTTCATTGCAGTATCCAGTAGCTGTCATTTTGCTGGATACTGTACTGGAAATGCATTTCCAAATGATTGAATACTGGCTAGTGACCTCGTTTATCAGAACAGTTTTAGGTTATGAGCAAATACGCGTGCGAGGCTGCAATGTATAACGTCAATAGCCAGTATCCAGTCATTTGGAAACGCTTGTCCAGTACAGTATCCAGTAAAATGCGATTACTGAATACTGCACTGAAACAAAATGGAAACGCAGCCCAAAACTTATGTATTACATAGCATGACGTAGAAAAGAATGATCACGTGGTCACATAATGTGTAATGGCCGCGATAGGATCACATCAGCCACACGTTGCGTGATGTACGCGTATTATTCGTGTTTTTACAATTAAAAGTCACAATGCCGATATCATGCCATGTGAAAAGTTGTCACAATTTAAGTGGAAAAAAATCCAAAGATAATATTTCGTAGATAAATTGCAATTAATCATAGTATACGATATCGATATAACATACACATAAACTTACATGTGCATGCGTGACTAGTAATGTTCCTACGCATCACGGGCATGAAGCAAGAATAACATAAACCTATAAATCCTTATACGTCAGAAGCAATGAAGGTGCTTTTTTATGGGCAACACGCGTCAAGACAATTTTGTGAAGTCATGTTAGTTTTTCGTCATTTTTGATTTTCCAACTTCCAAGCATCGAGTGCAAAAGAACTGTTTTTTTAAAGAAGCGAAGTAGATTCATTAGATGTAAGTAAATTAGTCAGTTATATATTACAATAAAATTATTTATACATCTTCAATATAAAATAAATGTGTTGAAGAAATAAATTTGATTTTAGCAGGTTTTAGTAAATACTTGTGGAATTTGCAAAACTATTATAAATGAGGCTGAAATAGTTAATCACAATTGCGTAGCAGAGTATCCAAATATTCTTGTGGATAATAATTCAAGATATTTTTATTTTATCCACAATGTGATCAGAGTTCATTCAATTACAAGTATTGATTTTATAAAACTCTTAATTTTAAGATTAGAATTATATATTGAATTAAGTTTCTTGAATAGAATTTTATAATTTTATGTTTGCACATTCTACTATCCATTAGTAATATTTTACTAATGATGAACACATTTTTTCGAAAATTGCTGCAACAAATCAATATTGTGGATATAACTTACTTCTTCACGCGAATTATAAAAATATCCGTGAAACTTTTTTTATTCACGCGTCAAAATATCGGCGTCATTTATGATAATCTAGTCTTTACCTTTCTGATTTTAAGCGTTAACGTGTCAATTGACGCTTATGAAAAAACACCTTGAGGTTGCGACACTTTTTTCGATGGATTTCGGAATGCGACTTATGTCTCTTGCACATCAGTGCGATGTGCGACATCCAGATTCTCTTCACTCGAGTGCATCTATGTATTATTTTATTCTTGTTGTTCATCGAATGTTAAACGAGGATAAATAATATATGGGTGTACCCGGATAAATTTCCGAAAATAGTCTAATAAGCATATATATAATTTTTCCAGTAGATGTTATAAGATGTTTGTTACATATATCAAAGTTATAGTATATAAGGGTATCAATCATGAAACTTTATTGCTAGGATGAAAAGTCAAAAGTGAAAATTTTACCACTGAAATTAATGGAGAAATTTTTCACTTTTCACTTTCCATCCTAGGAATCAAGTTTCATGATTGATACCAAGATTATATTTTTCAATTAATTTTGTTTTTTGTATAGCCAAACGCAGCTCGACTCATTCGCTTGTCACGTATGAGAAATGTTCAACTTCGCCCAACTTTTGTTGCGATACTTGGAAAAATTATATATATGCTTATTGGACTGTGTTCAGAAATTTATCAATAGCACTAATTAGCCAGAAATTGCCGTTTATCTTTTTATGTAACATTTGTAATTGCATTACTTAATCGCTATATTATTCAACAAGAAAAACATTAATACTTGCTTAACCTCATCCCGACGAAGTTCATGAGGATGCTATTATACGAAGCGCGGAAATGTGGAAACGCGGAAAACAAAATTAATTAAACTTTACTAGATTTCTGCGTTTCCATGGATTTTGTTCCGCCTGTTTCAATTTCCTAATGTTACATGATGCACAATTTCCACGGAAAAGCGAAACGGTATAGTGACAAATATACTTTTGAATTCATTTAAAAAAATTGTATTCATTTAATTTATTGCAATTTTTATTAATATGCTTATTTTTTTATGTATTGATTACAAGCATTTTAATCAATAAATACTGTTAATAAGTAATAAAAATTTGTAATTCCCTGTTCCGCTTTTCCACTCAAATTGGCTCCAATATAGGAGATCAAAATAGGTGGAATAGAACGCACATAAACGCGAAAATTTAGTAAAGTTTAGTTAATTTTCTTCCGCGCGTTTCTGTGTTTCCGCATTTCTGTGTTTCATGTAATTGTACCTTAATTCTTATAATGAAATAGAGTATAACGGAACTGGTTAACTAGAGCGGGTCAAATATGGCGATACTGAACATATACTACAGGTGGTAGTAGGGATGAATGGCGCTTCTCTCATACGTAGGACTCTAAGGCTGGTATTCATAGTCAGATCTTGAGCACGGTCTT